GTGTAAAGTTAATCGGATTCATAATTCTCTAAAACCACTTCTTGGTGCTCATCTACTCTTTGACAGGTTTTTGAGCCTGTCCCGAGCGGGATATTTAATTTTGATTTATAAATCGGGACGTCTGGCAACGCTGATATGTATGTACATACATACATATGTATATTTTATTTTTTGATGCAGGCGCTATCTATCCTCATATGCTGAATATATGTACATATGCATACATATAAGTGTATGTATTCAATTGTACAGTTCAACACTTATCCATATGTGTTTTTTGAATATGAATGTTGTAAGTGTAAAAGGTGTGTTTCTACTTTTGTAAATCGCAAGAATACATTCACGGAATAAGCTTAACGCTTAATTTCCCCCAGAATTCTTCAGAATACATTTGTAGCGTTGTAAGCTGACGCAACCTTTTAACACAAACGGTAAATCGCTTGTAAATATGCAATCAGCTGAGATGCTAGAGATGGGCATGTGTCGGCTTTTTTCGGCCCGTCACAGCGTGATCACGTAATTGACTGTAAAAAATCACGAATCCGTATGCACGGTGAATGAATACACAATTTTTTCTTTGTAAATTGAATAATTAGGAGAATGTCGATATTTAATTTATGCTTGTATACATGTGTACATGGTAGTCCAATTTCCAAGGACCGATATACATATGTACATGATATTACTTTTTCGTAAAATATTAATTTATTTTACGCAAACGTGGCTAACATTAACATTGTTATTTTTTGGCTATGCGCTTCAAATCCCTTGATTTTTTCAACAATAAATTACATGTATGTACATAACACAATGTTTAAAGATAGACTTTGTGCAAAAAACTGGAATAAATATTACAGTATTTATTCCTTACTTTAAATTATATAATGGACGTGTTTTTTTGTTTCTATCGCATTTTCATGTTTGTCTCAACTGTTTGATATTTTGCGCTCTTTGTTATTTATTGTTGCTGCATCTGGCAAGTAAAAAACATATTTCTATATTTCGAAAATCGTTGAATGCCAATTTGTAGATATAATTATGTTGATTACGGACACAACATTTGAAATCGATCGGACAACATTAATGACACAAACTTTTTATTTAAAAACAAGAAAGGAATGCTAAAGTCGAGCAGGCTCAACTCTTAAATACCCTGTACCTCCCACTAAAAATTAAAAAAAAAATTATATTATTTTATTATATTATTTAATTTCATTAAATACAGTTTCAACAGCATACATTTACATCAGAATCGTGTCTCTGCGTGTTTATATGCGTGTATGTATGCAGCACAAAGTTGAACCAAAGCAGCAACAACAGCTACTGGCAGCGCTGCAGGCAGACCATGGGCAGCGATTTTATTTATGGCTATAACTTTCTTCAGAATTGACCAATCATTATAAAACTTAACATACGGACGCATAATCACAAACTGGAGGTATTTGCCAATTTGAATCAAAAATTTCAAGAATTTCGGGAGTTATGGAAAACATGAATTGTGGGGGAGTGGGGGTGTATCAGAAAAGAAAAAAAAAAACACAAACGCGTCCTTTCTCGGACTTAGGAGAATCTGAATACCAAGTTTGGTTATTCTTGGCCTGTCATCCTGATCAATAATATATATTATGTGGTCTGCCACGCCTCTTGTATAGCCTTTTACCCTTTGAGTACAGGCTATAAAAAAAGAAGAAATATAAAAACCCCAATAATTCAAGCTCCAAGACCAATTTAAAAAAACCGAATATGTATTTGTATTCTTTTATTGATATTGGAAACCATGTTTAGGTCGATCGGTTGAAAAATGTGAATTTCTCAAAAAAATTTTGGAGTTGCTTTCTTCTCTTTGGAACTCGGATTTTTAAAAATCCCTTCTAAGTGCACATCTAAACTATAATAGGATACTTGAGCCCAAATTTCAGCTTCCTAGATTTTACCCTTTGGACTGTGGGCTGTTGACGCGGCTTTCTTTTGTGCCCCAACATTTTTTTACAGGAAAACTCCTATATTGCAGGCTCCAAGAAAAATCTCAAAAAATCGTAGTTTTTCTTGGAATTTTTCTAAGAGTACACAAACTAAGTTTGAAGTTGATCAGATGATTATTTTAGATTTTAAACTTTGGAGCCTGTTTCCCCCCTTTGGAGCTCGAATTTTCCAAAATCGCTCCTTATCGCCAGCCTATGAAAGGATACTTGAGTCCAAATTTCAGCTTCCTAGCTTTTACCGTTTGGGCTGTGCGACCAATCAGTCAGTCAGTCATTATTTTTAAATTTTGTTATGATTTTTTTTTCGAAGTCAACTGAAAAATGCACATTTTAAATTTGGTCATCAGGTTAGCACACATAATTTGTTTTTAATTTTTATGACCGTTTCTAATAAGAACTTATTTTTAAACTTATATAGTAACTAATTTAAACATTTCTTTATCATTTTAAAAATGAGGCGATCCTTCTCTGTTGAGAATGATCTCATATATCAAATTTTAAAAAAATTCGTTCAACTTTCCAAGATATCTTATAGAAATGGCTGACCAAGCACTTTTAATGCCTTCCCCATCCCCACACGTTTTCCATTATATTGATGTCCGGTGAGTAAGGCGTCCGCCTCAATAAATCGACGTTTTGTACTTCAGTCCAAGATTTGATCACCCGGGCAGTAAGAATCGAAGCATTGTCGTATTGAAAACATCCAGGGAAAGCACTAAGCATATTTATACTCTGTACATGAAATGTACAGAAGTATATTAGGTTTGCGGGAGCTGAAAAATGTAACAGGCAGAAGGAGGCGTGGCAGACCCCACAAAGTATATATATTCTTGATCAGCGTGACAAGACGAGTCGATCTAGCCCTGTATGTCCTTCTGTCAGTCCGTATGAACACTACCCATATTAAAGAAATAAATCCCTTGAGCAGTAACAAAATTTCGGTGCAATACAACAGGTATTGAACTCCGAAGATAAATGAAAAACTAATTGCATGTCCTAACCTGATGACGCAAAAATGAAGCACCCTTTTGAATTGAAAAGAAAAGAAAATAGTACAAACCATATAACGGTATATACTATCACAATTTCTCTTTGTCAGTGATAGTGAGAAAAATAGAAAGCAAAAAAGTTGCATAAAGTTAACAACAACAAAATCAGAAGCAATTATGTATATTTTTCTGATCTAGGAGTGCTAACCTGATGACGCGCAGTGTACATAAGTATATGCATGTATTTTATTGTTAGAAAAAGCAAGGGATTTGGAGCGCATATCCAAAAAATAACAATGTTAATGTTAGCCACATTTGCAAAAAATAAATTAATATTTTACGAAAAAGTAATGTTATGTACATATCAGAGAAGTGCAACGAGTACTACATTTTCGGTCATACTCGGTATGATTATTTCATTTGGATATAGTGACAAGCAATGACTGGTTGCGAACGAGCTCTCAACGAACACTCAGTTCGAATCAAAACTGGAAAAACTCAGAAGTGAGCGGTTGTGCCCGAAACTTCTTGCATGAATGCAAGCAATGATTGGTATTTAAACGAACCCTCACCAACCAGTCAGTTCGACTCACAACTGTAAAAACTCAGAAGTGAGCGTTTGTGACCGAAACTTCTTGCATGAATGCAAGCAATGACCGGTTGTGAACGAACGCTCGTCAACCAGTCAGTTCGACTCACAACTGCAAAGACTCAGAATGAGCGGCGGTGACCGAAACTTTATGCCTGCGTGCAAGAAATGATCGAACGTCTTACTTACAATCATACCCGCATGACCGAAATGACCAATGATATCGGCGGGTGCACGTGCACTTGCATTTTCTATTGTTTTTTCGGCTATTAGTTCAATAGTAACTTCGTATAGAAGTATGTAAATGCATATAAAAACTATTAGCGAACAGAAATACCTTCCTTTTTATTTAAATTAAAAAAAGTTATGCCATTTTAATTTATGTATATTAATTTGCTTTTTTTAAGATATTTGAGTTCCTTTTTTAAGAAATAAAATCATGCTAAATATTTTTTTTTTCTGTTTAATCAAAGCATTGAAGCCGTGCATTCATATTAGCACCTTAACAATACATTTTTACAAATATAAAATAGCCCAACCTCGAGCACTTCCGCGCGAGGATTAATAAATGCTAAGTATCATAATATAAAAATAAATATATGTATATACATATATGTTTTATTTTCATTCTGTACCTCTTTATTTAAAATACGTACATACATATACACATGTTTGCGCATAATTGTAAACAACACATGCACGCACAAGTACATAAATATGTACATATGTACATACATGCATATTTTATACGGTCATACTCGGGTAAAACCTGCGCTATACTCGAGTAATACCCGAGTATAGCTCGCGCATTACCCAAACAATACTCGACCAATAACGGCACTAACTCGTTCGATCAATCGCTCATTCTGCAGTCTGGTTTGCTTCGATCAGGACCCAGTCATCTTAAACGAAGTGACCGACCCTGAAGTGTTTGAAAGCAAACCAATCAAGGCCGGTACTCGTTCGAACCGACCGCAACAAGCAAAGTGACCGAGCCTGGTGTGCTCGAAAGCAAACCAATCAAGACCGGTGCGCTTGTTCGTAAAAATAGAAAGATTGCCCGTTCAAGCTCGTTTGCAGCCAAGCAAAGATCTGATTTGATTGAATTTTCAGCAAGGGTGGTCGAACATACTCGTATAGCGTACACACCAGAGAACTGCGACGAGTATGTTGTTTTCTTTTCTTGAGTGATATAATTAATTAATTTAATAAATATAATTTTTTTTCCTTTTTGGTGGGAGGTACAGGGTACTTAAGAGTCGAGTCTGCCCGTATTCAATGTATTATGTATTCAATATTTTTTATTTATTAATTTTGTTTTATTTTCTTGATAGACTCGATCCTGATGTAAATGTAAGCTATTGGAGCTGTACAAAAACATACATATATATTTGCAATTATTTATTCAATATTTTTTATTTATTAATTTTGTGTGTTTTTTTTTGTTGCTAGAGTAGCTATAAGACTTGAGCCCGGCTGACGCTTGCATTCCTTTCTTGTTTTTAACATGCGCATTAGGCCACCGAGCTGCAGAGTCCACAATTGCTGACTGGGCACATTTTCATTTCAACATTCTCGCCTACACGAACAACCGCAGCCATTCCGTTCTCCGAATGGGTTGATATGTGGCAATGAAACATCCAATAGCCTGGGCTGTCTGAATAAAACCGTATGATTGTATAACCAAACGCTGGAACCTGTACAGAATCTTTTAAAGGTGCGCCTCGACCACGGCGCGGTAAAGGAGTGCGCTGGTCGATTTCTTCAATCTGCGATATGCGCTCCTCGCCGAGCACCCCCATGCCCACTACACGAAATGTGTAGCCGTGCAGGTGCACCGGATGCGCTGTTACCGATTTGCTTGAAATAACCATCTCTACGTTCTTCTGCGAAGGCACCTGGATGACGTTTGGGCATTTACAGTGGCGTTGCTTGCAGTTAAAGCCGAGAGCCGCCTGTTGGCTGATATTACAGAAAAATTGACCAATGCCGAGATTGCGGGTCTGCAACAGGGACATTTTCGGCATGCTGAAACTGATGTCATCCATCTGAAAGCGGAAACCTTCGGCCATCTCTACCGCTGCCATGCTGGTGTAGTACGTGACGTCTGGTGTCATGCTCGGCTCAATATCCTTTGCATTGAGGCTAATAAGCGAAATACTGTGAGCATTGTCACCGGCGGTATCGTCTCCGAGCTCGTTGAGCATGATGCCAGGCGCATCGTAGGTGTAGCTAATGGAGCTTGTGTCCAGTTCCTGTGTGTCGGAGTCCGTATAATGCAGTATTGCCTCCTGGTGCAGGTTGTTCTTCTCGCAGAAGCTATAACCTTTTACACGAATCCAGTAGTTGGCTATTATTTGATTGGCATGAAGCACAAAATCATAGCGTTCCGCACCGTGGAACATGATCTTTTGAACCTCTACGGGCTCTATGTCGTTTCCATCGCTAGAGATGACCAAAAGGTCGTGTTTATCGATACTCATGCTTATGGGACAGTTAGATACGCCTGCATTATGTAAGCTTTTAATAATACATATATACGTTTTTGAAGCAAATATGGCATAACTTACCATTGAAAATGACTCTGAAACGATAGCGACCACCTCGTATAACTGTGAAAGGGGCGTACAGCGTCGGCCTTGTTTTGCTATCTTTTTTCATATTTCGCCCTACCCCATTGATTAGAATATTCTCTGCTACGCTCTCATCGAAATTGTGCACCCAGTCCTGTATCACGATAACGTGCTCCGTGAGGTCAAAGTCATACAGGTGTACGTGGGGATTCAGCTTAGGCGGCTGGCGCACAATCAGCGGCCCCGCCAGTCCAAAGGCGCGCTGGTGCGCAGTGTGACTATGCCACCAGTTGGTGCCGACGTGGTCAACCTGAAAACGATACCGGAAAGCCTGACCCGCCTCAATAGGGTATTGCGTAACGTGAGGCACGCCGTCCATATGTGGCGTGAGGCGCTGGTGAATGCCATGCCAATGTATAGTCGTCGTTTCGTGCATGCTATTAATGACATCCGCAACTATTGTGTCCCCGAAGCACACTTCGATGGACTGGCCTGGCAGCTGACCGTTTACAACCATCACCTGAGACTCTAGGCCGTCAGCGTACTTACAGTCGTCGTTAGCTGGCTCCTGCTCGGCTATTTTAAAGCTGTCGATAAATTCCTTACCATCTATATTGAAGCGGTACTTCGACTGTAAATAACGTTTGCAAGTATCACTCATAGTATCGTCGTAATGTACCACCATGTAATAGTAACAGGTCATTGGCTGATTCTCAACGCAATTGCGTTTACAGGGATGAGGCATGTTCTTGTCAGCGACCCGCCATTCTGGAGTCTCAGTTCTCGCAGGCTGGGGATACAATTTTTGCACGCTTTCGTATTTGCTGATAATTCGTTTTCCATCGGCATCTGTGTGAGGAGCGGACGTGAATTAAAATTACAAATGCAGGCGTATCCAGATTAAAAATTCAGATTAATATTAGTTTTTCAGATTTCTTAAGGTAAGTTTAGAAGCCTCCAATGCTAGCCGAGCATTTTAGCGAAATTCTGCGATGTTACTCAGCACTAGCAATATTTTAAATGTCGTTTGTCGTATAAGTACCTTGTATGCCATGGATTTGAGCGATAATAATGATACACATCAAAACTATTGTTTGCACCAAATTAACTTTCATAGTACACAGAAAAGAATAATATTTGCTTGTGGTCCGTATATTTTTCTGGTGAGTTTTCCCCGGATGCATTTACTGTTCTCTGATCGCAAACTCAACGCGTAACTGCTGACGAGCTTCCGTTATCGTCTGCCTTTTGTAACCAATAGGAACATCATTTTTCCAGAATTAAAATCAGCAACAAAAAGATTGGTTATAATTTGCGTGTCTGCACAGCCGAACAACTAGTAATCATTAATTAATGATTGTATATCGGCTGCCGTTAGAAGAGGCAACTACCCTACGGTGTCTAATGAACTCATTTTAATTTTCTACCTATGCATGTACTTATGTACATATATGTACATGTATGCATATACTTACATACATGCAATGACGTAGGGGCACGAAGCCCATATTCAATGTAAGGAGGAATTCTTAACACATGAATGTTACAGTTGAAAACCTTGAACTAATTTTTATACCCAGTACCCAAATGGTCAAAGGGTATACTAGTTTAATAAGAATGCATATAATTCACAGAGGAGGCCTGATAACACCCACTAAGCGTATATGTTTTAATCAGTATAACAAGACGAATGCAAGAATCTCGAAAAGTATAAGAGATACAATAACAAAACTCGGTATCCAGAAGCGGCAAATGTGTGTTTTTTCTCGCATTGATTGATTTTCCATAACTTCTGTATTTTTTGGAATTCTGCACTTTGGGTAATTAGTAAGTATTTTTTTTAGTAAGTATTACAAAGTTATGCCAAAGCAGCAGCAACAACAACAGCTCCGGCATTGGCGGAGATTACACTTATGGCTTATCATGATGAAATTTAACACGGGGACATCAGAAAAAAAACAAACTTGTCCTTTCTCGGACGCAGGAGAATCTGGATATCAATTATGGCAATTACACATATCATAAAAAGATGATATTTACTATGTCATTACTCAATAAAGATCAAACAAATAAATACTTATATTGATTCCTTACATATGAAGTAACTAGCAGGTCTTGCCCGACTTGGATGGGCTAAGTATTGTTACTTAAAATTGTAAGTTTATTTATAGTACAATATGGTATTTCTCTTCCGAAACTCTCTCAACTTTCTAAAGGAACTACCAATAGCAAATTACTTACTGGTACGTTCCGAGAGCTAGGACATGTAGTGCAATACGTACGGTGTATGGTCATATGTACTATATACATACATTACGGGTGCTTATTTAGTATGATTAAAAGCAGTACAGTTTGGCAAAGATATTTGGTGAACTTATGCAACTTATAAATGAGCATACATATCAATATGCACACAATATGTAGATATGAGTATGTACCTACATTATTTTAATTATTTCTTCCACGCTTTAATGAAAATTTCCAAAAACACATTACGCAATTTATCTTATATTCTTTCTTAGAGTAAATAAGCCAAGTTTATAATTAAAACCTACACTTTAACATGAAAAGTGTGTCAAAAGTCCAGCTTCTTAACACTTGCCATTGGGGCTTTGCGTTGTATGTATATACTTACATACTATACATGCAATAGTTTTCGTGTTCCCATTATCAACAACAATTCAATGAACAGATAATAAAACCCCAATGAAAACAAGAAAGGAATGCTGGAGTCGAGAGCGCTCAGCTCTTAAATACCCTTAAATAAAATAAATTTTTTTTAAAAATTAAATTATTAAAAAAAAACGAATTAATTAATTAAGTAATTAAAGTAAATTAGAAGACATGTTTTTGTTCAGTTTTAACAGCATACATTTACATCACGTGCCTATGCGTACATGTATGCAGCACAAAGTTGAACCAAAGCAGCAACAACAACAGCTACGGGTAGCGCTGCCGGCAGTGCTGCAGGCAGCGCATGAGCAGCGATTTTATTTATGGCTATAACTTTCTTCAGAATTGACCTATCATGATGAAAATTGGCACACGGACACATAAGCACTAACTGGGCGTAACTACTAAACTGATTTCAAAATTCCAAGAATTACGGAAGTTATAAACAAGAAAGGAATGCTAAAGTCGAGCAGGCTCAACTCTTAAATACCCTGTACCACCCCAGAAAAAAGTAATTAAATTAATTAATTAACTAAATTAATTTAATTAATTAACTAAATATTAACATATTAAATATAAAATATTCCATGCATGCATAGATACATTTACATTTACATCAGAATCGTGCCTTATGCGTGTTTGTGTACTTGTACATATGTATGCATGTGTGCATTGGGCCTGGTTATATGGCTATAACTTTCTTTCCGATCATTCTATCATAATGAAACTTGATATACGGTTATATAATTACTAACTGGATGTGATTTTAGTTCAAAATTCCAAGAATTACGGGAGTTATAGAAAATCGGTAATAGGGGGGGAGTGGGGGGGTGGATCAGAAAAAATGAACAAACTCGTCCTTTCTCGGTCTCAGGAGAATCTGTATACCAAGTTTGGTTATTCTAGCTCTTATACTTTCGGAGATCCTTGCGTTCATACAGACAGACAGACGGACAGACAGACGGACAGACGGACATGGCTATATCGACTCGGCTTGTCATGCTGATCAAGAATATATATACTTTGTGGGGTCTACCAAGCCTCCTTCTGTGTGTTCCATGTGCACTCGCACAAAACTAATATACCCTTGTACCCTTTGGGTACAGGGTATAAAAAAACACGAATTGCGGGGGAGTGGGGGGAGGGGGGTGTATCAGAATAAAATAAAAACTTGACCTGCCTAGGGCTTAGGGGAACCTGGATACCAAGTTTGGTCATTTTTGTACCTTCTGAGATCCTTGCGCTCATACAGACGGACGGACGGACATGGCTAAATCGACTCGGCTTGTCACCCTGATCAAGAATATATGTACTTTGTGGGGTCTGCCATGCCTCCTTCTGTGTGTTACATACATTCGCACAAAACTAATATACCCTTGTACCCTTTGGGTACACCCTTTCACCCTTTGGGTACAGGCTATAAAAATAAACTTGACCTTCCTAGGACTTAGGGGAACCTCGATACCAAGTTTGGTTATTCTAGCTCTTGTACTTCCTGAGATAGAGGTTGGAAAACATCGAGTTTTGCAAACATCGATGTTTTTAAACATCGATGTTAGCTAGCATCGATGTCTTCGATGTTATGAAGCAAAAACATCGATACATCGCGATACATCGAAGTTTTTGAAGGCAAATTTAAAAGAAAATAACAACAAAATTTTATTCTTCAAGAATAGATATACTTGTACATTTAACAACTTAATTAACGAGATCGTAATTTTTGCTTAAAAATATAAGATTGACTGTGCTCGGTTTAAGAGAACATCTGCGATCTGACACGATTTGTCCTGCTTTGCTGAAGGTTCGTTCAGACTCGCAAGATGTTGCAGGCACACACATATATTTTTTTGTAATAAATTGTAATACCTCTTCGTCAGTATTCTACAAAAAAAAAAACAAAATAATTAATGTTTGAATCTATAGTCAGTAGTAAGAGTATTACCTTACAATAAATCAATGGATCCACTTCCTCCTCGGCATTTGGTTTTACCAAATACAGCAACATCAACTAAACTACAACTAAACAGCAACATCAACAACAGCCGCGGGCAGCGCTTGGGCAGCGCTGCAACAGCAAATATATTTATGGATATAACTTCTTGTTAAATCGGTCTATCATAGTGAATCTCGGCATACGGACACATAATAACCAACTGGGGGTATTTCCAAATTTTAGTACGAAATTCCAAGAATTACGGGAGTTAGAGAAAATCGCATTTGCGGGGAAGAGGGGGAGGGAGGGAAATTCCAAAATATACATTTTCTGCGTATTCACATAAGGCATCTAGGTGTTCCTAGGTCTTATAGTCTCCGAGATAAGTATAGGCGATTATACGAATGAACAAGTAAAAAAGCTAAAGTCGGGTAACACGAGTAATCTAATACATCATGATAAATTAAAGAAGCCTGACTCTGAGCGTGTTTTGCCAACAAATCTTGAAAGTTTCTTAAACAATGTAAAGTACTACGAAAAAGACTCAACTCGCAAGATTGCAATTGATCAAGCAATATTGCGCATGATAGCCATAGATTTGCAACCATTTAGTGTCCTGGAAGACAAAGGTTTTCGTGATTTGGTAAATTTGCTGGATGCCCGATATAAAATACCCAACAAAAAATTCTTTCGAAATGAACTTCTTAACAAAAATTATAACGACATGAAAGATTGTCTTAAATCCATTTTGCAAAATGTTACTTATGTTGCGATTACAACAGATTGCTGGACTTCAAAGGTACTTGACGGATATATTACAGTAACTTGCCATTTTATAAATAATAAGTTTGAATTAAGCTCGGCAGTGTTGGCAACACAAAAACTACTGACGCCTACAAATCATACTGCAATGAACATAGCAGAAACATTAAAGGCTGTCATAACAGAGTGGGTTATTTACAAAAAAGTTGTTTGTGTCGTGACCGATAATGATGCGACAATAAAAAATCCTGCGATTTATTACAGCTTCTCACATACTTTGAACTTGCTCGAGCAAGAAGCTCTTAAATTGCAGATCCTTCAAGATATCTTCTTTAAATGCAAACGCATTGTAACATTCTTCAAGTCAAGCCCAGTTTTTAACGCCAAGTTAAAAGAGGCGCAAAACGTGGATAGTCCATTGGGTCTTGTTCAATAAGTGTGTACTAGATGGAGCAGCGCTTTTTATACTTTGTACATGAAATGTACAAGAGTATATTAGGTTTGCGGGAGCTGAAAAATGTAACAGGCAGAAGGAGGCGTGGCAGACCCCACAAAGTATATATATTCTTGATCAGCGTGACAAGCCGAGTCGATCTAGCCCTGTCTGTCTGTCCGTCCGTATGAACACCTGGATCTCAGAGACTATAAGAGATAGAGACACCAAATTTTGCACAAAGATACGTTATGTGTGTATTCTATACCCCCTATGGGGGTTTTCCCGATTTTCCATTCGTATAATCGCCTATATCTCGGAGACTATAAGACCTAGGAACACCAAATTTTAGTCCAAGATGCCTTGTGTGAATACGCAGAAAATTTATATTTTGGAATTTCCGTCCCTCCCCCCTCTACCCCGCAAATCGTAACTCCCGTAATTCTTGGAATTTCGAACTAAAATTTTGGAAATACCCCCAGTTGGTTATTATGTGTCCGTATGCCAAGTTTTACTATGATAGACGGGTTTAACGAGAAGTTATAGCCATAAATATATTTGCTGCTGCATCGCTGCTCAAGCGCTGCCCGCGGCTGTTGTTGATGTTGCTGTTTGGTTGACTGCTAACATGTTTACACAGACACGAATAGATGCGCATAGGCATACGTACACTCACACAGACGCAATTGCTATGTAAATGTGCAATTTTAAACCCTTTACGTGAGTTCGAATACTGAGAGAGGTAAAATCGATCAAATTTTTTTTTTATTTTCTTAATTTTTTTTATTTTCTATAATTATTGTAAACATTTGTACAGAGTATTTCAAAGTCGGGACACCCGACTTTATCTTTTTATTTTTATTTTTCTTTGTTTAGTACATTTGGCATTAGGGTTTTCATTAGTAACTTTATGCAGCAACAACAAATTACAAAGAACGCAAATATCAAATAGTTGGGGACATCATATATCATCACACGCAGAACAAGTAACAGTTCGTGCCTATGTGTGCGGTTCTCTACGTACGGTTGAAAAAGTAAAGAGAAACATGCATGCATATGTATGTGTACGTATGTACATATATAGCATGTATGTATATTCGTATGTATGTATACATTGGACAATCGAGCACTGTTGTTTTATTGTAATAAATAGTGTTCTATGGTTTTAAATCAAATTTTTAAAACAAAATACAACAACAACAACTGTAAGTCATTGGCTCGCTCTTCTTTCGTTTTGATCATTTACGCCTGTTAATTTCAAAGGCAAAATGCCAAAAGTTTACAGTTACCGTCGTTACTTCTGCTTCGCGTTGCGGGCAGATGTACATATGTATGTTTGTATATGATTTGTTCTAATTGATCTAAATAAATTATAAGATGTTATTATTTAAATTTTCTGCTACTTGCATTCAAACTTCGATGGAATTATTGATTGTATCGACGGATTCAACTATCGATAGTTTTGATGCTCTAGCACATAGAGCATACGACACATGCCCATTTCTAGCATCTCAGCTGATCGCATATTTACAGCGACTTACCGTTTTAATGTTAGCTAACAACGCTACAAATGTATTTTGAACAAATCTAAGAGTCATTTACCGTTAAGTCTATTTTGTGAATGTATTCATGCGATTTACAAAAGCAGACACACGCCTTTTACATTCACAACATTCATATTTGGAATTGAAGACACAAATTAGAATTGAATTAAAAAATTTAATGCATACTTATTTATGTATGTACATATGTATGTATATAGGCGGATAACGCCTGCATGAAAAATTTAAACGTATGTACATATCAGCGTTGCCGAACGCTCCAATTTTGGCGGGACGTCCCGATTTATAAATCAAAATGAAATGTCCCGCGTCGAACTTTTCGGGGATAACTCAACCGTGCGTACAACGTGCTAAGGAAGCACACAGTTAAGTCAGGACTGGCAGTCCGCCCGGTGCGTAACGAAGATACATATGTACATATGTATGTATGTACGTATAACCATACATAGTACTTATTGTACTATATTTGCTATTTGGAAAATGAACTCTTTAAAAAACTTTAGAGAGCGTCGAAAGAAGAATATCATATAGTAATTAAACTTATAATTATAAGCACATTTTACTTAGCCCAGCAAAGACGGGCAAGACCTGCTAGTCATTCATACATTTTATTTATTAATATACTCTAATATACCGTTTTATCTTTTTACCCTACGGGTACAAATTTAAAGTATATGCCCTAACAGAGGTCGTGTTCTTGTTGAATGTTTAAACACAGATACTTGTATGTTTTTAGGTCTTTCTATTAATTGAAAAATGTGCGATTTAAAACACAAATTTATCGTAAATAATTTAAAAATAATGCCAACCTAAAATAACAAGTAAAAAACCTAGTCGGGTGTCCCGACTTTGATATACTCTGTACATATGCTTAGAATAATTATAGGAATTAAAAAAATTTAGAAAAAAAAAAAATTTTATAGATGGTACCTCTCTTGGTATTCGAACTCACGTAAAGGATGTATAATTGCACATTTACATAGCAATTGCGTCTATGCGAGTGTACAATATGAATGTCTATGCGTGCCTGTGTGAGCATATATATATATTACACGAACACACTTCATCGCTTTAAAACAGTTTTGGATTATAATTTTACATACCTTGATTAACGTTTTCCATTATACAGGGCGCGCCATCTTTTATGTCGGTATGTAAATATTGAATAACTTTGTCATTAGTGAACCGATTGACCGATTGATGTTGTTTTCAAAAATTAGTCTGAAGAAAATGTACAGAACCAAATTAAATAAAAATATCTCATACTTGAAAATCGCTTGTTTATTTATACCGACATAAAAGATGGTGCACCCTATATAACTTATCTTTTGTTGGTTGTTTTCTTAATTCTGCAAGCTCTGAAAGTTTACCAAAAATTGCTGCCAAAATCACAAATACATGTGTTTCACACAATCAGTTAACTTTGACTGCGCGCCAAGAAAATGGTGTTGCCATATCAGCAGGAATTTTTTTTATTTTCGCTTAATTGTTGTTGTTGTTAATGCTTTGCACAGGCACAGGAGACGTACACAGACTCACACACATACACGCAAAATTATTCTACACATATATATGTTCGGAGTATTTCAAAGTTGGGACACCCGACTTTAGCTTCTGTACTTGTTTACAAATGTGATAGGGCAACACTATTGACACGAACAGCCGCAAGATAGAAACTTTGCTATTCTACTCGAGCAAAACGTCGAGCAACCCGATCATCCTCATTAATGTCGAACATTTCGTCGAGCACAACAAATTCGGCCAACATGCTCGCGTGTGGATCACCTGCTTAAAGGTTTAATTGCTTTACAAAAAAAAGGTAGTAAAGCCCCTCACAATAATGCAAAATTATAACGCCACGTCTTTTAGGAACCATAGTGCAAACAACGGAAACAGCTTTCCGGAGCCTCGAAGAAAACATAGGCAACGCCAATATACCATGAGTCAAATGCAAACAAACAAGTGGCAACTCTAAGTGATAACGGTCTCACTAAGTGCCAATGCTAGTTTTATTGATGTGCAAAGATACGATATTTCACAAGTTTTATACAACCTTTGCTGATGCGCATAGAACTTGTTTTTCAAAATTTATATCAGACAGCACAAAAATGGCATGTCGGGAGACCACAATTCACACCGCCAGCATTGCTGAGGTGCACAACATACCAATGAGTGCCATAAAACGGCCAATACCCCCAATTTTGGACGAGCAGAAAGTTGCCTCCCTCATGGACACTATAAAGGTACATGTTGTGTTTTTTGTGTGATACAGTCTGTCTACGTATGCATATTCATATATTCTTACATATGTATGTATGTACGCTAACAACTTTCGTCTTTTAGCAAGAAACGGGCGAAGAGCAGGTGCCACCCATAGATATCTTGTGGATCGTCGGCAGCAAAGGCGGTAATTACTATTTTAGCTTCGGCGGCTGCCACCGCTTTGAGGCCTACAAGCGTTTGCAGCGCGAAACCATAAAAGCTAAGATCGTTCGTTCAACTCTGGGTGATCTTTATCATTACATGGGCTCCAGTGCACCTAAGTATTTAGTCTGACAACATAAACAAATCACATATATCTACATTTGTATGAAAATTGGTCCGTTTGAATGCTATATTTTATTGAATTCTCCGATTTATACTGTATTAGGATTGGACAAGCCAATAGAAATCGATCAATGGAACATGAGTCGATGCGTTGATGCCCTTACGTACTACGTAATATGAATAAAAATTTATTTACATAAACTGATTCTTGTTTTTACAAATTCGTGTTATAGCTACTTGTAAATTCTATAATTATAGTTTATACTGCAACTTAATAAATAAATCATAAAGCGGTAGCTCACCAGAGAAATGGCGATCGCTCACGCAATATTCGCAGGCCGTAGCGCTGCCATTCCTTTTGAGATATCCAAAGCTCGCGTGCACTCTCCAGCACTGACATAATAGCCGCTCCCTTCCACGCAACCATGCCTGCATCCATACCCTTGCTGAAAACGTTCACCTCCAGCCCGGGTACCTGTTGACTGATCCGATTCTCGAGCCACGCGGCCAAGCCCGGAAGCTTTACGCTGCTGCCCACCAATAAAATAGAACCAAACATTTTCCGCTTCGTCTCATAGCTGGCGCAACGCCCTATAGCCCGAATGATAGCCATGTCCAGTGGCAAAATCTGGCCAGTGGGACTATAATAGCAAGCACTGGAGGCAGGAGTTTGCAACAATTGAGACTGTTGCTGTTGAGCGTTATTGTTGCCTATTGCCGGCATGGATTCATCTTGATCGACTATAATCAGTTCCTCTTCCCCATCGGGAACGGCTGGCACTTGAGATAATGAATAGCAGGGCAAGCGGTTTGAAACAGTAGAAGCTGCATTTGGTATCTCGCCACCTCGCACGCCCATACGACGACCCGTCTCACGCAAGTATTCGGCATCAAAGCAATCCTCGCAATCGTACTGTTCTTGCGACGATTTTTGCGTGTAGACGCATCGCGTCTTTCCCGTTATGTTCAGAAGCTCAGTGTAAAAGAGCGCCAAGGGTGCCATTATGGCCTCATCGCCAACCTGCAGAGTATAGCGTAGCCATTGTCCGTTTTGCTTGCGCACCATGAAATGCTTCTCCTGGGCCCCGCAGATGTTCGCATGCAGGTGGCAAAAGCGTTCCTTTAGCTCGTCCAACAAATGTGCGTCCACATAGCTTTCCTGAACGCTGCATTCGCGATACGGAAAACCGCATTTGCGGAGCAGCATAAGCAGCACTTGGTTTAGATCGCCACCTCCATAGCTCAGGCGAACGCGCGCATCTAGTTGCGAGATTCCGTCCTCAATGCAGGCAATCGATGTTTTTTGCGCGCCAATGTCAACGACGCAGCCATGTCCGATGCCAGCACCATAGGTAGAAGCAACACTGTCTTGCACTAGAAAGCAACGCTGGAAGCCAAGGCGCTGAAGCAACAGTGTCATGGCTTCTCGCAAATGACGACGAATGTAGACATCGTTGACAACCAAAACGGCACTGTGAGTACCCAGTTCACTCAGGGGTATTTTGAGCCGTTGCTCCAGCGCATATGACCAAATTCGTTCTAAGTGAGTCAGGGTGGATTGCAGAGAGCCTCCTTTCCCCTTGTGAACGTTTAATTCACCGCGCTGTATGGGGAAATGTATATCGAAATCCCGAGCGTCGAATGCGCTCATCCGCAGGATATGCTCATCATATAGAACCGCAGCAGTGCGATCCAACCAGCTCTGTTCCTCCATGGCACCAAATTGAGAGGGCGCCGTTACTTTCTCTGCTACACTGCTGCGATTGAAGTTGGCGAGCTGCTGGGGTGGCGTGGCGACCCGAAAACGATTTTGCTCGTCGACAATGCAGTTCTGCAAGATTCGGGAAACGACAAGACGTTGCTCCTCGAACTCCACCTGCAACTGCGCCGGGTTTATGTTTTCCAGTGGCGGTAGTAGCTGGTCGTGGTATGGCCAATCGCCATCGTTGTGAAAGCGTCTGTAGGCGACTGCATGTAAGATTGTCAGAGGATTCAGATCAGCGGCCCGGCCAATGCGCAGATGCTGCGAGCCCGGATGTATTACTATAATCTTTGGTGCTTCCAGCGGCTGCACAGATTGAGAACACGCTGTATTAATGTGCGGGTTGCGTCCACTGCTTGTACTGCTGGCGCGAGATCGTCTTTTACGAATGTAAGGATTATGCATTGTATTACGAGTTGATATCTTTATATTAATAAACTACTTACTGCATCACGAGCTGGAAAAGCACTGCAGCACTTTCGAGGACTTCGAGCTAAGTAAAGTTATGTCGATCCGGTGGGAACTAGTACCTATGACCAGGTCCTAAAGAGGAGTTGTTGAACTAAATTGTTTGGTTCAGTTCCTTTAATTCTCCTAGTAATGTATTTTGATCATTGAGAGATATTTATAAAAATCTCTATAAAAAGTATTTCGAAAAAAAGATGGTGCACTCAAACTATATGAGTACATGACTGTTGTTGAATAAAAACATTACAATATGTATATAAACACATTTTCTTTTAATTAGTCTTTATTGTTATTTAATTATGTTGGCTGGCCTATTACCATTTTTTCATAGCTTAAACGTAAACAACTTGGCTATGTAAATGTGAAGGAACAAATTTAATAATTAGGAATGAGCATAGGATGTAAAAAATTAGGGTTGTAAAAAAACATCGATTTTTTTTACATCGTCAATGTTTTGATAATGAGTACTCGATTTTTTCCGCTGTTTTTTTGAACGCGATACATCGACGATCATCGATGTTTAGACAAAAGCATCGAAAGCGAAACGAAATTTAGTGGAAGAAGCAACCGTCTAACTTAAACATCAATTTGACATCATTACCAAAAAAGTATAAAATAATAAATGTAAATAATGCCAAAGTAAAGTCTTTAATTAATAACAAAATTTTTAAAGACTTTAATTACTATAACACTTTAATATTTGTGTATACGCCGGTATTTCACCCACTTTTGTGTGTACGCATAGACATTTGTATATCCCACCAATTAAATATTGCGTTTACTGTGATATATGTATATACCAAATTAAAAGGGTAAATGATTTCATTACAGAATAAATTCAAAGCGATACTTAATAATTAACTAAATAATATCAATAATAATTCCATGAATAAATATTCGTTGTTTATTGTATTACTCGTGTTTTGTTATGCAGTAATATTGAATATACTTTTCTTAACAACTGTGCCTTTAAAAATTTGTATGAGAATGAAAGAAATCAATGCACCGATGTTTTTTCGCGATGTATCGAAGTACAATCGTTGGCACTTGACGATAGATCGATTGTGTGAAGCATCGATGTTTTGTACTTTATTTATAACATTGATATTAGAATGCTATATTGAAAAAGATACTTGTAGAACGCTACAGTCGAGCAAGCCTGACAAAGTTGAACCAAAGCAGCAACAACAACAACAGCTGCGGGCAGCGCTTCCGACAGAGCTGCAGGCAGCGCATGAGCAGCGATTTTACTTATGGCTATAACTTTCTTCAGAATTGACCTATCATGATGATTTGGCATGATTTGGCACACGGATACGTTAGTACTAACTGGATGTACCTACCAAAATTGATTTCAAAATTCCGAGAATTACGGAAGTTATAAGAAAAAACACGAATTGCGGGGAAGTGGGGGGTGCATCGAAAAAAAACTCAAACTCGTACTTTCTCGGTCTTAGGAGAATATGGAAACCAAGTTTGGTTATTCTAGCTCTTATATTTTCTGAGATCCTTGCGTGCATACGGACAGACAGACGGACAGACGGACGGACGGACAAGGCTATATCCACTCGGCTTCTCATCCTGATCAAGAATATATATACTTTGTGGGGTCTGCCACGCCTCCTTCTGTGTGTTACATATATGCGCACAAAATTAGTATAGCCTTTCACCCTTTGGGTACAGGCTATAAAAAGTTAAATTTGAGTAAAATTACGGTTTAACGGAAAATATTTACCCTCATCTCTTGAATTATTTTTCTACTTTTTATCTGGTTACGCACATTAAATGAGGAGGAAATGCACCCATCGTGAAAAAGTTGGCAGGTGATTTCGCTGCCCAGAACACGACGCTATTGAAAATCGGTCTCGTCGATCATCAATATTTTAATGACAAAATATTTGATGCAACAATGGCAGTATTTGGATTCGGAGATGAAGGTCGAAGTTGCCGACCAAGCCAAGAAATACGATCAACCGATGCCGCTGAAAAAAACGGACATAAGGGAAGTGCTGCACATCAGACCAACTACATCTAAAGGACTAGATGATAATCAGGCAGATGCATCACAACGAAGCCCAAGTCCAATCGACAGCATGGTAGACCTAGTGAATAAGAGAGCAGAAAAGGTAACGCAATACATAAAAAGGGTGTATGCCTGCCTAGACCACAGCGATTTGGAAGAGATCCTTGACCACAAAGTACAAATGAAGTTCCTGTGGTTAAAAGTTCAGTCGACGCTCAATAAACTGGAGGTAAAATATGAAAAATTTGCCTTTGATGTCGACGAGATCGATGATCTAGAATGCAAAGTCCACTTATTATCTGAAAAGATTGACAGAAAAATAAGGGTATCGTTCGCTCTGATTTTGCTGCGACGTTTTTCTACTGGAGTCCTACAACTTTACGAGCAACATGTAAAAAAGGCCAGAGAAATTCAGTCCTTGCAAGATGTGCTGGGGTTCATTGAGCAGCTACATACCTCAATAGACTCTGTTCAAAATAATGCCATCTACAAAGAAGCACAGAAAACGGCCAATAGAAGATGTCGTTTTTGCCAGATAGATGGACATTAAATAGCCAGATGCCAAAAATTTAAGGCCGAGCCAATCGGAAAGCGCAGAGAGTTTGTGAATAAAAACTCCCTGTGCTACAAATGCTTAGGTGCTCATAGCATGAAAGATTGTAAAAAGAATTGGACATGCAATCGATGCTCTAAGGCCCATAACAACTTGCTTCATGATGATGGAGCCAGAAATCACGAACAAGAACTTGCTTAAAGCACAAAGAGCAAGATACGCTACTGGCCACGGCTCTGATTCTGGTAAAAAACAAAACTGGAAATTATGAGCAGTTGAGAGCGCTAATTGATGGAGGCTCACAAAAAACACTTATATAAGAGGAAGCGGCACAACTTTTGAAACTTCGGAGGACTAAAAGCAATGTGGAAGTCCAGGGGATATCAGAAGGTGTCGATTTAATCAAAAATAGTGTCTGTTTGGAAATAAAACCAATGTTTGCAAGCAGTTTTGAAACCACAACGCAAGCCTTGGTACATCCCAAACTGCAAAGAGCTCTACCGAGTAAAAAAATAGACTTGGATGTCACCAAGGATTGGAAGGGTTGCGAACTAGCAGACCCATACTTCAATGAACCCAGCAGGATTATTGGAGTTGACCTGCTTTTGGATGGAGATGGCGTGTTACGAGTGGGAGGTCGCCTTCAAAACGCTTTACTGCCATATGATGTAAAACTTCCAATAATTATTGGAAAGTCACATTTGGCTTGCCTTTTTATAAATAAAGCACATAAGGAAACCTTGCATGGCGGACTGAAGCTAAAGAGAAACTACATTCAAGGAGAGTACTGGATCTTTGGACTACGAAACTCGTTGAAAAAGTATCTACAAAAATATATTACCTGCATAAGGTATAAAAACGAAATGGCCAGCCAACTAATGGGGAATTTGCCAGTGTATCGAGTAACAGGTGATCATCCGTTCCAAAATACTGGCATAGACTACGCTGGACCCTTTCAAATCCGATGCTCAAAAGGTAGAGGACAAAAAGCGTTCAAAGGATACATATGCCTCTTTGTTTGTATGGCAACAAAGGCTATACATTTGGAAGCCGTTAGCGACCTGTCAGCTGAACGTTTTTTGGAAGCATTACGACGAATTTTCGCTAGACGCGGGAAAAGTGAGCACCTATACTCGGACAATGGCACCAACTTCGTGGGAGCAGCCAGAATATTGAACAAGGAGCTTGTTGCCGCAGTAAAAAGCAACAACAACCTGGTGCCGGTTCTCGAAAAAGAAGGCATCCATTGGCACTTTATCCCGCCGGCAAGCCGCCATATGGGAGGATTATGGGAAGCTGGAGTTAAGTCGGTGAAACACCATCTCAGGCGAGTCATCGGCGAAAGCAGTTTCACGTTCGAAGAGTTTACAACATTGCTTTGTCAAATTGAGGCAGTGTTAAACTGCTTAATCTGAACAACGATGACCATGGGGAAGAAATTTTAACGCCAGGACACTTTCTTGTGAGAAGAGCTCCAGAACATTATGATGAAAATCGAAGAATTGGATCTCTGGATAGATGGAGACATTTACAACACATCAGAGGGGAATTCTGGAGAAAATGGAAAGAGGACTATCTGGTGTCACTTCAACAACGAACAAAATGGCGTCATGAAAAGCCGAACCCTAAAGAGGGACAGCTTGTTCTTATTAAACAAGAGAACACGTCCCCAGCCAGATGGCCAATGGGACGACTAACTAAAACTACTAAAGGACAAGATAGTAAAGTCCAAGTAGTCACAGTTAAACGCAAAAATGGAGAAGTCCAAAGGTAGTTAAATAAAATTTGTTTGCTGCCAACTCAAGACAGCGACGAACAAGCCAACGACCAAAACGACGAGCCAGCCGATGGAAAAAGGCAGCGATGCAGTAGGGCAGCAAAAATTAGGCCAACAAAAGCAATCATTAGCCTTCTTATGATCCTGAAAGTTGCAAGTACCGCTACAATACCTACAACTAATACAAGTAGCATTCAACATATGGAAGATCGAACCGCAATAATTATGGACAAAATTAAGAAGGTGGAAGTCGTCTCGTCAAGTTGGCAACTGCTATTTTTATACAATATGCAAGCTTACTTCGAATTTCTCAATCAAGCCGATGATTTCCTGTATAAAACAGCCAGTTAGTAGTACAATGAAAGCAAAAGTAGACAACATACAGGAAAGAAACAAAATTATAACACAAGCATCGGAAAGGAAAAGAAGGTGTATCATGTTCTTCGACAGCGGTACTACAGAAAGAATAAAGGAAAACATGGAAACTATCATCAAAAACGAGAAGCGCCTCAACGAGTACATGAACAACCAGACCTCAGTCATAAATGCAACTGCGGATTTAATACGCACGACCACAGAAGAAGTGAATAATAACTTTGAAAGAGTCACAAATGAAATAAATAGGATGCAAGACACATTGAAGAAGAATTTTCTCATCTTCAAAGAAGCTATAAGTATAATCAAGTGCGAAACTGGATTGACGAAGCGGAAAAACTGCAATCCGCAGCCTTCGCGCTTGTAACGGATATTAATCAAGGAAAGGTACACCCCTCCCTGATTGAGCCGAAGAAAATGTTGGCAGAGTTGGACAAAATT